TGATGTCAACTCCTGTCACACCGATACCACTCCACCTGATACCGAACCACAATCATTTACTATTGCTAACAAACATCCTCAATGGAGGCACCAACTCGTCGAGTAGAGGGATAAATGGCCATGTGATTTTTAGAGTCTACTCGACGAGTTGGTGGACCCCAACTCAACGAGTAGGAGCTATGAGTGAAAACCCTAATTTTTATGGTTTGTATCCTATTTAAAGGACCTTAAGCCTTCATTTCTGCATCCCTGAACATTTTGAGACACTGAGAGAAACCTTAAACGATCTGTAGTCGTTGTGAGAGAGAGAAAGGCTAAGATTTTGTGTTTTGCATTATTGAAAGGGGATTGAAGAGAAAAAAGGCTTGGAATGAGAAGAAGCCTCAAGATCTGGTGTTCTTTCAGTGCTAGCTGCTTTTTGGATGTAAAAAGCTTTCACCTTGATCATTGTTTAGTTAGATCTCATCATTAGGTAGTTTAGGGTCATTTCCATCCTTTCTTTGGGTCCTTAAGTTGTTTAGCTTGCCATGGAGTTGAGACTTTAGATTTGGACAATATAAGGTCCCTTTCAAACTTTATCAAGCTATTGGATAGCCTTCATACATCAAACCCTCTATAGAGCTTCTTTTGGCATTTTGAGCCCTAGATTCCATGCATGGACGTAAATCCTGCAGCTTTACGTGATACTTCATCCTTAGAAGGCTAGATCTAGAGTATGAGGCCTTAGTTATGCTTAAAAATATCTGAATGAGAGAATGGATTGAAAGGACTCGACGAGTTGGATAGGGTTTTCCCCGATAGTCTAGACGCACTACAACTCGGCGAGTTGATGAGACAACTCGACGAGTTGAGTTGGATTTTCCCGATACTTGAGAGAGAACAAAGGAACTCGACGAGTCGCATAGGTGCACTCGACGAGTTGGGTCAACATGGACAATTGACTCGAGTATTGACTTCCGTTGACTTTTAGGGTTTGGTCAAGACATAAGTTATGGAGACATTGAGGGGTAAAATAGTGTTTCACCCTTTCAGAGAGTGAGAGAAGGGGTTAGCCTAACTTTTTTAGAGTTGTGGTTATAAAGTGTTAATTGGAAATGATTATATTATGTAGGCAGAGTCTAGACTGTTCGTGGGGTACTAGATATACTTGATTGCTTATGAAGTGAGTCTTCTCACTATACTTACCTGAGTGGTAATACTGTGTGACTGGAGGGTCATATTTGAGTTATCGACCCGGGGGTCCTATGTGCTTATACTGAATTCTGTGATATTATGCATTTTGTCTTTATGATTTATGTTATATTATTATGTGCCTTACTGAGTTAGGACCGAGGGTCCAAACCGAGTTGTGAGACCGGAGGTCTTCACTGAGATACAGGACTGGAGGGTCCAACCCGAGCTGTGAGACCGGAGGGTCTTCACTAAGACACATGATCGTAGGGTCCACACTGAGCCGTGAGACTGTAGGGTCCTCACTGAGACGCATAACCGGAGGGTCCATGCCGAGCTATAGATATGAGAGTCAGATCCAGCAGGTCAGATAGAGGTTACTGATGACCCAGAGTCATTAGAAGAGTTACGCAGACCAGCTGTAACAACGTAAATTTTCAAAACAAATTTTCATTTTAAAAAAATACATTTACTCATAAAATAATGTCAAAACATAATGTATCAAATGTTATCAACACAAAACATATCCAAGAATCTCAAAACATAAACTCCACGAGTGTGTATGAATCATGCTGGCGCCTTCCAGCGATCATCACTAGTACCTGAAACACATAACACCACAACTGTAAGCATAAATGCTTAGTGAGTTCCCCAAAATACCACATACAACACATACGCCTTTCCAGGCCATAACTTTGTGAGATCTTCCGATCCAGGTGTCTCAGGGGACTTATGTCCCGAATTCCGGTAGACCTTCCGGTCCTACCGGTATTGACCTTCCGGTCTGTAACCTCCTGACCTTCCGGTCCATGTCATCTTGACCTTCCAGTCCTTATCATACATAACATACATAGCACATACATATCACATAACAACATATAGACATACATCTCATAGCATACAAGACCTTCCGGTCACACATAGGTACCCTTCCAGGTACAGTATAGTGAGAAGACTCACCTCGGATATCTCGGATAATCTCGCACACGTATGCACTGATCTAGCCTGTATCTAAACACATAAACAATTATCTCAAATCAATAACGGCTCTCCAGGCTAGACTAGTCTCTTTCATGACCTCTAAGAAGGCTAAAAGACCATTTTACCTTCAAATGGTCCACAAGTCCAAATGTTGACCAAAACCTAAAAGTCAATGGTCAACTTTGACCACACTCGCCGAGTGCACTCGGGTGACTCGGCGAGTCCATGCATGTCTTCTTCGCCCATGGTCCTCACTCGACTCGTTGAGTCAACTCTACACTCGTCCCTACTATTGCTCACTTCCAGGTCATGAAACGGCTAATTCGATATGTCAAAGGCACTCTCACTTATGGTCTCACTTTCTTGCGCCCATCATCCACTACCATTGTTGGTTATTCTGATGTTAATGTGGCTCGTTGACTTGATACTCGCCCCTCCACTTATGGGTAGTCAATATTCCTGTGGGGTAATCTTGTATCCTGGAGTGTTAAGAAGCATCCTACGGTTTCTCGCTCCAGTTGTGAATCTGAATATTAAGCCATGGCCAACACCACTGTTGAACTCGTGTGGCTCACGCATCTCCTTCGCGAATTACATGATTTGCCATCCGGTCGACCTATTTTTGTTTGCGATAACCAAAGTGCATTGTTCCTCACTCAGAATCCGGTCGCTCATAAACGCGCCAAACACATTGATCTCGATTACCACTTTGTTCATGAACTTGTGGCTTTCGTCAAATTCATCACTATGTTCGTTCCAACCAAACTTCATGTAGCAGACATCTTCATGAAGAGTCTTCCTCGACAACAATTTGAGAAGTTCCATCGCATGTTGCGTCTTGGTCACCTTCCGATTGAGGGGGAATATTAGTCTAACATAGTTTATTGTACTCATATTGTATTTACTTATTCTTTGAGGTGTTTGTTGTAATTTTTACATCTATATAATGAGAGAAACCCCCATGGTCTATTGACATGGATATTAATAACTAATCTCATAACTGCCCTATTATTCTTTAATCTTCTAGCCCTATCTTATGGGTGTTACAATATCTTTTGGATCTGAAGTTTGATTGTGTATTGAGATCCATGCATGAGATTTTGGTCTTATTTTTCCATTTTGACCTAGTTTGAGTTCTAGACTTGCATTAGGCATGCATGTCTGTAAAGCTACAACTTTTATGTTGGAATTGAAGTAAGAAAGCCTTATGGAAAGCATGAATGGGTGGCTTGAAATATTAAGAGCTTAACCTATTAAGTTGTGAGAGTTCAGCTTTCACGACGTGGCAGCCTGCGTACCAAGACATGACGTCTAGTGCCATCGTTATTGTTTTGTCGTGAATATGCCACGATGTGACCAATGAGTGGTCATGACAAGGGAGTGGACTGGGGGTAGACTTTGGCCATTGATCATTGACTTTTTGATTGGTTTGACTTTTGGTCAAACTTTGAGGGGTGTTAAGTTGTAGTCTGAAGTTTAGTATGTGTATGGTTTAGGAGGATCATGTAGCTTATACTATGGAACTTTATGTAGTGGATTTTAGCTCTTCATTCATGTTGTAGTGATCTGTTAGGCTGGTATATCTATTATGATTACATGTGCTTGCATGTTATTGTTTTGGACATAATGTGATTGGGTTAAAGCGGTACTGCTTTGTGATGTAGGCCAACAGTCGGGAGCAATTCAGTCTTAGGCTGTGGGCCCAGGGGTAATCCAGTCTTTATGGTTGTCGGCCCGGGGCAATCCAGTCTTTGTGTTGTAGTTATAGGGGCAATCTAGTCTTATGTTGTGGGCCTGATGTATGTACATTGTATATGTAATGTTGTGTAGGGTATTTTGGAGGAACTTACTAAGATTTGGCTTATATTTGTCGATTTAATTATTTTCAGGTACTTTAGATAATCGGAGCAAGACGAAAGTGTGATCGTACACATCCTCATGTTGTTTTATGTTTGATAGATTATCTTGATACTCTAACTTTTATGGATTTGATTTGAAAACAATATTTGATTTTCTGATGGCTTTATGAAAATACCATTTAAAAATAAAATAAAAATTACATGGTTTTTGCGATGTTACAAAATAACTTAGTCGTTCGGATCAAGATTTCATTTTCAGTTTTTTTCATTATGTCCTAAATTGTACAGTGCATTTGACCACTCTCTCATCCTCATGATCTCGCCTTCCGCCTCATCAGCTCCCACTCTTTCTATTTTGTCATTTGAACTTGCTATGACTTTATGTAATCTGTCTCCTAATTGTTAATTTTTATTTTCCGCTTACCCAACTCATACTCTTTCAACATGTTTAGTGTTTCAACCTCACATGAACGACATATTTCAAGGTATACCCCTAACGCGAAACTTGACACGAAAATGAACAGGTTGACACAACATGTTAATTAAAATAGCAAGCAGTTGCATAAATATAGAAGAAAAGTCAACAGGACAACAATACAAGATGTTCAAAGTCAATGTAGTGTCACCATCAAACACCCATGAAGACTAGGGTCGAGTAAATATCCTTGTTGGAACAAACCGGAATATAAACCAATTGAAATCAATCGGGAACCCAATATATAACTTAGTTCAGTTCTTGATTTCTCCGATTCTGAATTTTTCGCTTCCGGGCCCTAACAACTAGGAGTGTGCAAAATACTCGTCGGAACCAAACCGAACCCAATTGGGAACCGCATATGTAACTCGGTTCGGTTCTAAGTTCCTTCATATCCATAAATTTGATTCTTATTTTTCGATTCTGAATCGGTTCTATCCGGGTTGGTTGAGAAACCTAACTCACCCCTAAATTGAAGTATTGAAGACCACTACATAAATGAAAGCACATACAAAGGGGGGTCTTCTCAAAATATTGCAACGAAGATTTAATGGGCAGGTGGAAATATCCAATTGCAAAGAAATCTGAGGGCAACACCACAGCAACCGCACTCAGAATTTTACTCCCAATTCAATTGCGGGAAACCTTTGAGCAATTCCAGTTTCAATTCAACTTCAAAACAGCATCAATCGCTATGGAGATAGAACAATAGCAGCCACCGCATATGAGTATTGTAACACAAAACCTGAAAAACGCAGACCAAGAACCCTCCTCGTATACCCCGAAAGGTCTTCAGGGGCAAAATGGACAATTGAGCGATGACATTTGTAACCGACTATTCAAAATGCTGACATTCTGCTTAAACCCTAGATAAACCCTACAAATCGAAAAAATATTGTCGGATTAGATGCTATCTGCTTCGAATCGCTTGAAAATAGTGGTTATTCCCCGATGGAAAACCCCCTATTTGCTATATATTTCCTCCTTATGCAATAGTTGCAGCTACCAGAGTTCTAATCGTCGAGAATCAGATTTCTCTCCGAAGGCACTACATGTAAGTCGTTTTTCTTCTCTTTGCAAAATTTAAAATTTCGCATTTCACTCTAGGGTTTGTGCTTGTTAGCATCCATTTCTGCTTCACGGTGATTGATATTCTCGCGTTTTCATTAGGGTTTCTGAAATTCTCATTTGTCAGTTTGTTTTTGTTAACTGGATTAGGGCTCTGTTTTTTTTATGCATTTGCATTTGATTGCGAGTAATCAAGCTAAGCTTTTTTGTTAAAAAGAAATCACCATTGTTGCAATAATCTCCACAATAGACTACACTTACAAGATTGAGTGATTCTGGTTTAGTCCAAATACATAATATCGACCATAATGTACTGTAAGTTTTAACTAATCTTACTTATGCAGATGCAAATCACATCAACCCCAGTTAAACTTCCATGGATACGTCCACTATATCCCATGCTAAGAACCTGCACACTCAAAGCCCGATCATTGGTAACTCAAGCATCCATTGAAGACGAAGAATTAGCACATCAAATCTTTGACAAAATCATATCCGAGTTACAAAAAACCCCAAATTCCATCAACGAATTATGCACCAATCACATCAATAAACTCTGTAAAACAAAAAACCTCCAAACAGCCACTATTCTCCTCCAATTACTACACAATAAACACGCCATCAATGGCATCGACATCCTCCCATCATACAATCTCCTCCTCAATGCCGCCAGTGAAAACAACAATACCAAAATCGCCGCCCATATTTTCAAACACATGTACGTCAACCACCTTCCTATGAACTCCTCCACCTATTTTTACACCACCAAAGCCATTTCCAAGAGCAACGATTTAACTTTCATTTTATCTTTCCTTAAAGAAATCTCAGACTTAAATTACACTAGAGATGTGACAGTTTTTAACCGGATTATTTACGGATTTGCAGAATGTGGACACGTTCATAATGCGATTCTTGTTTTTGATAATATAAAGAGTTTAAAATGTAAACCCGATTTGATCACTTATAATACCATTTTGTGGATATATGGTAAAGAGGGACGATTGGATGAAATGCTTGATGTGTTTTCCAATATGAAAAAGACGGAAATACCCCCGGATATTGTTTCGTATAATACAGTGGTAAATAGTTTGCGGAAGGTTGGGAGATTTGATTTGTGTGTGGTGGTTATGAAAGAGGTTGGGGAAGTGGGATTGAAATTTGATTTGAGGACTTATACTGCTTTGATTGAGTGTTTTTTTCGATCTGGGAATGTGGAAGAATCATTGAGACTCTTTGAAGAGATGAAGCGAGGGCAAATTCGTCCTTCGATTTATGTTTATAGATCGGTGATTAGTAATTTGAAGAGATTGGGGAAGTTGGAATTGGCGGGAAAGTTGTTGGAGGAGATGAATGAATGTATGGAGGATCTTGTTGGTCCTAAAGATTTTAAAAGGAAAAATAGATGAAAAATTATCGTTAATTTTTTACTTAAGTTTAATTGGGTAGAATTTTCAAAGTATGATGTCATAATATACAAGTAAATGGAAGTATGTTGCGATTTCTCATTGTTTTTTCTTTCACTGTGATGAATTTTACTAGGTAGTTGGTTTGACTACAGTTATGATGTGATATTCAACATGTAATTGGAAGATATTGATAAATTGACACTGCAAAATGGACATATTGAAGACTTGAGCTCTGTAGTATCTTCTTGTCTGATATTTTCATGCAGAAATTTTTTGAATTTTGCTGCTGTTCATGAATGTTTTATGTAGATCGCAATGTACTTAACAAAAAAAATGTATTAAACTAGGGATATTCACCAATATGATCAAATTTCTTAATTGCATTCACATCATCATAAACATTTTAATGTTCATAAGCAAACAAGATGTTTAAGCTGTTATTGTGATCGACATTCAGATCACAAAATCTGTGAAAGACGTATTTAAGGCAGTTTGCCTTAAGTAATATGCCATGTTTAATTACTATAATAACCCATAAATTTATTAATAATCAAAATAAAGATACATAATATAACCATAAGTTTTTAACCATATTTCATAAACGTCGACCTCTTTGTCCAATTTTTTTGGAATGGGTACCTATTTTTTGATAGATGGTAAAACCCATAAAATTAAGACTTTATGTCATGTATAACAAATAGAGCCTAAACTTTTAGGTTATACTCGTCTCCATTGGTATTTATATCATTAAAAGCATAAAATTCTTCAAAAAAAATTGGAACATTTTCTTAGTTAGATTGATTTTCATTAAGATCGTCTAAATCAAAAGCAAGACTGCAACTTCGTAGTCTTAAAAAAGATCAAAAGCAGTTAAGCACTTGTACCAAGATTAAAAAGGGTCCAAAACAAATCAAAACTCACATTAATCATAATCCTCAATAGTAAAACTTTCAAAAACCAAACTCCAAAATTTTACAAAAAGAAGACAATACTATTAATAATAAATCTAAGCTCCAATTTGTTGAGATTTGTTGAGAATGACACCCTCGTATTTCACTTGAAACCATTTCATCGCATCATCCTTTGTCACTCGGTGTTGGATCCCAACACGTGCCTTGCACCTACGACGACGGCCAACACGGTATCCGGGACGTTCTAGAACCACAAAGAAATCCATACCATAGATACCAGTAGACGGGTCATACCTATAATCATAAAATTAATAATTCACTTAATCCATTAAGCTATAAAAATGGTCATTTAGTCTCATTCAGTCACTTTGCTTTATCCATTAAGACAAAGATAGACTTACTTGATACCAAGATCGATGTGCTCTTGAATACCAAATCCAAAGCATCCAGTGTCACTAAAGTTGCGCCTCAACAACTCGTATTCCTTCACCTTCAAACCACTTTCCAAAAGTTGCATGGCTTTGTCTCCTCTAACAGTGACATAACATGCAATCTTTTCATTACGCCTGATCCCAAATGACCTCACAGTGTACCTTGCTGTAAAAATCAAAATAAAACAATTAGTCATAGGTAACTTTGTTTGGTTGGATAACCTTTATTTCATTGTTATTGAAAGGGTATTTTAAGTGCTTTAGATGTATTGAACTATGTGTGGATCAAACTATATTGGGCTTGAAAGCTTCGAAACTAAGCTATTTGATTGTCTGAGCTTAAGAGCAAATCAATTAACCATTCATGAAAAAGGATCATATCTTTAGTGTCTTTTATAATAACTTTTATCATCGGTAGACAAAAACGAAACCCCATTTGCGTAAGTGATACGATTAATCACTAACTGTACCATCGGATTATTTTCTATACTTAGATTCAGTTTAAACGAACTCAACGAAAAGAACAGATATTGCAAGATAGAAAACTTAAACATGAATGATGTAATGTGGATGAAAATAGTTCTTACCCTTTGAGAAAACAGGGGATTGGCCGCTCAGTTGCTCCAAAACCTAAATCGTATTCATCAGATGTATAATATCAAAATCGCGAGATACAGAGTGTAAATCTAAAACTCGGTTTGAAAAACTGATGGGGGAGTAAATAGATACCTTGGCAGCACGGGTGAGACGATCGCCGCTTTCTCCGACTGAAATGTTGAGGACGAGTTTCTGAACCTTAATTTCCCTCATTGGGTTCGCAAGCTTCCTTTCTGAGGCCTACACTTAAAAAGAACACCATCGTCAAAGAATCAAAACGAGAAATCACAAAACAACATCGAAATATGCTATTCTGTTGATTGTGCGTGTTTGTATGTGTGTGTGATAGAGAGGGAGGTAGAAGGAGAGAGATTACCATTGTTGGATGCGCAGGTTGCAGAAACGGTGGCAATAATCGAAATGGCGTAAAGCTTTATCTGTAAATATTGCTAGGGTTTTGTTCGAGATTGTGTTTTATGTAGAAGAGGCCCATATAAAGACCATCCAACCTACTTAGCCCGCTTTCAGGCTTTCAGCCCACATCTTTTATAGCCCAACAGGTTTATCTTATATACATATTCACGTATTGGGTCGGGTTTCAAGTACACTTTCCACACCAAAATGCAGAGCATTTGAGACTACATTTGTTTAGGATATTAGGTTGGATTGGGTCCCATCGGGTCACGTTGAATTAGATTGGATTTGATAGGGTTAAGAATATAAATAGTCTTATCCGTAAGTTTGCGAATTATATTAGGGTCATGTTTCTGAAGGAACCGAAAAGAAAAAATATAAAGAATTTGAATCCAATTTCATATGGTTGACACGAAATGAAATTAGAATTAATTATAGATTTTGTTTAGTTTGCAGGAAAATAAAACTGGAATCTATATAAAATAACAGAATTACCCTTTTATCTGTTTTGCTTGATTTTACTTTATTATTTTACTATATGTAAAGATACATTATATAAATTATAAAACTAGTAAAATCTCGACAGTGGCAGTATGTTGTAGTGAGTATTGTTGTGTTGAGTGATTGAGAGTTGTAGTGAGTTTTCCATTGTAAGTCTTTTTCAACCATCTGGTTTTTATTTACAATAAAAGAATTGTTGATGTTGTCATATTTTAGTGTTTTGTTCATGGTATTAGAACGAGCTTCTGCTTGTTCTTGATTTCTTGTTATTTCACGTCTAGATCTAGATGTGTTGTCCTTTTGGTCGATCTAGGGTTTTTTGTTGCTTTGCAAGTCTATTCGTTCGATATAGGTTTTTTTATGGTTAATTGTGTTTGTTCATGGTGTTTAAAGGCTTATCGATCGATCTGTGGTTGTTTGTTGGCGTTGTCATCTTCGGTAGTTCTTCGTCACAGTGTTTAGTAATAAACGAGGGCTTGGTAGTAAACGATTAGGTTGACTATTGTTATCGTAACGACCAACACTAAGCCTTTTCGGTCTAGCTAAATTCGTGCAAACGAGATCTATAAACGTAGGTGATTCCTAGCATTTGAATGGCGTTCTGCTTCAGTGTTTAACCTTGTTGATCTAACGAAACTACCTTGCTGCTTACAAAGCTTTTTTGTGGAATCATTGTAAGTTTTGCATGACTGTTTTTTGTTTGGGCTAATTCTTGTTGTTTGCGGAGTTTCTTCATTGAATCACTGTAAGTTTCGCACACGTTATTGTATGTTTGGGTTAATCCTGGTTGATTTCTGTGTGTTGTTATGTATTTATGTGTCTTTGTGTGAATCTTCTGTTTGATCTGATTGGTAGGTTTCTTGTCTTGTAAATATGACTGGTAATACTCCCTAAACTGATGAATCGTCTAATAAAATTGAAACTATTGATTTTTATGATCTTTAATTTCATCCTTTTGACAATATGATTACCACTATTATTAGTTTTTAACTTCTTGAAACTGGAAATTTTACGATCTGGAGGAGCCCAATGACAAGAGAGCTAAAGGCTCAAAATAAAATTAGATTTGTTGATGATAATATTTGTTAAAACGAAGGATGATCTTGTCAAGTCACTTAAGTGGGATAAAGTATATGCTATTGTTTTTTCTTGGATCTTATGATCTTTATATGAGTCTATATGTGTTGGACATGCTTGTTCTGAAATTTCTCTCGCTATTTGGAGTGAACTGTTTGATACATATAATAAGGTTGATGGCTTAGTTGTGGTTAACTTGCATCAGCGTATGGTCGTATGCCTATTAATTGTCTTACTCAAAGTGGCTTAAGTATTGTTGATTAGTTTGATAAACTTGATGTTATTCGAAGGAATTTGATGGTGTTACTAATTTGAATGAGTGTACATGAGAAGGTGCAACTCAATTTAATAATCATTCAAAGTTAATGAATTTAATGCAGTTTCTTAGTGGTTCATGTGACTCTTTTAGTCACATTAAGAGTCATATTCTTCTTCTTGAACATTTCCCTGATGTGAAAACTACTTTTTCAACTGTTTCTAGAGAATAGTCTAACCTGAAACATGGTTTTATAATTGTGTCTTCCAATATAACTTAATCTTTTGGTTTTGCTAGTAAAATTAATGACATTGGAAAATCTAAAGGTAAAAATCAGGTTTTTCAATGCAACCATTATGGTCTCAAAAGGTCATACCATTGAGAGATGTTACAAATTAATTGGATTTCCCAAATATTTTAAACATAAAAATGATTTTAACAGTACTAACAAGTTTTCAAATAATACTTATGTTATTGCTTCACATGTGAATGAGTCTTCTAACGCTTCTTCATGTTATGTGGATAAGTCTTATCAACATTTTCTTACTTCTGATCAATATTCTAAGATCATGTCCCTTATAAGTGAGAAACAATTTGCTGAGGACATGTCTTCTAATGCCAATATGACAGTTTTTTTTAACGACGAGCAAAAGTTATCATTAGCAAACAAAAAGCTTGAAATAGAAGATTAAGTCTTGATACAATAAAAGTTTAAGAAATGAGACATACACCAATCAAACCAAACAATAATGGAAGATTTGGATCCACACTTAATCCAATTAAAAGTGTTAATGCAAATATCATCTGCCACGTTTAATATAGCTCACCTTTCATTTATGAAAACTAACACATTTCACGCCTTCCAGATCATCCATAATAGCGAATAAACAAATGACATGAGCAATTTCTTCAAACCTTTTCCCACACCTGTTAAATTAAGCCTAGCCATAAGACTATAGCATGAAGAAGGAATATCACTCCAAATATCAGACCATCCAATAAACCATATCCACACGTCTCTAGCATAATCACATAAGA